CCAAATCTTTGCTAAAATAATTAGTCACCGATCGAGACCAAGCAATTTTGATTAGAAATAACAGTGATCAAATCAAATGATTAACTGTTATAGCTGAAATATTTTAAAAATATTCCTTAATAATAATCCAACATACTTCACAAATTTGCATAATTATTCATCGCTAAGTAAAATATTGGAACCTATAATCCACTCATATTTCTCGCGAATGTAAGCAATTTTTTCATCAACGATTCCTGCTGTACATCTATAAATTATTATGCAAATCTCAACATGTAATTAAATTAGCATCCCTAACTGGAAAATAATCCAGACAAATTGCAAGAAACACTTAACTTTTTCAATTTCAATCAATTCATAACTTATCAAGTGTAAAGTGTAAAGTAACGTAGCATAGCACTAAACACATCATTTTACTCTTCTATTAAAGGCACTTTGAGAATAAACTCTTTGGAATGATAAATTAAAGACTACACTATAATTGCAAAAACTTTAAGAATAATATGCTCAGCACTACTAGCTACTTTCCAAGAAAATCCATTCATGAGGAAATATAGAATATTTTATTATTATTCTCAGAGACTTGAACCATATGTTTGATTGTAATCACGCCGTTAAACATCGCAGATTTTCTTTAGCATACAAGCTTTTAGTTCATTATCGATTTGAATAATATGGAATTCATAAAACACAACTACTTTATTACCTGTAACCAAATTTCATACAATTAGGAACTGGAAAAATAACTCAAAAATCCTTATCCAATGAAACCACCTTCCTGCGAAGAGCTAAATACAACCGTGATCATTTCATATTCATAAGAAGCAACCTTTAAATATTCATTCAGCTCCCAAATAGAAAATAAATAAAAGTGCCCATACCATTCTTTCATTACTTCATCCATAATTCAGTTAGAAAAAACGTAGCAGAATGCGAATGTTTCGTTGCATAATACATTGAATTACATGCGGAATCATTTATACAGATAAACCAAAAAATTACTCAATAAAACATGGCAAATAAATCAGAGATCATAATTATATCATTACCTGACATACATTAAACATTGTGAAACGGAATCATAACTGCAGATCGATTTCATACAAGTAAGAACCACTTTTATAGAAGATTCTACATGAAACTGTAATATAAACACCTGTGACATGGAAACCCAAAAGCATTTATGAAGTAAAAACTTACTGAGCATTAAAAATACTAGCAAAAGCACGTGTGATCCAATCAGGCATTTATTTTTAGACGAACTATGCTGACCTTCACATAAAACTGATCTTCCCTTTTAATTAAATATCTGATCTGCTATTCAGATACTTTATTAAAGAACTATTGATTGACTTCTGCAATATGGAAAATTGCAATGAAATTTATGCACAAAAACGAAGATTAAATGCTACAGAACTGAGCCTTAAATATTTTAAAGAACAATTTTTTTTAGCAAATGGCTCATGCACAATAAATTTGAAAAAAAAAAGAGACTGCACTTGACTATTTGTGAGTAAACATTGTTTTTTGATTGCACAGAAAGACATTTAAGTGAAATCTAATTGAAAAGATAACTTGGATGAAATTTCTTGGACATTATTTGCGATTAAGTCGATTAGGTGCCTAAAAATAGTATTCATTTGAAGGAGCTTATGATTTAAAAGTAAATTTACAAACAGAAAACATCCAGAAAGAAATTAAATAGTTAAAAACCAAATTTACCTGACTATAGCAATATGCCAGAAGGCGATTGATATGCTTGTCATACTCATCATGTTTCTTCTTCCTTCTCTCTTGAAAACCTTGAGTTTTACAAACTCGTCTGAAAACGACTAAAAGTACTTTTCAAACAATAATGCTTTTTGAAACTTTTTTCAGAAAAAATTGATAATAATTCAACCTAAATGTTTCACGCTTCATCATATTAGGAGGAAATGCGCATATTTCTCGATCCATTATACTAAGTAATTTAACAGCATCTTGATTTTTAACGTGTCCGGCAAGTAATTGCTTTGCAACTTCACGCTTTTTAGCTGCAAGTTGTTTGCGTTTTGATGACGCTTCTTTGATTCGGATTTGACGCTCAATACTTCGTTTTATAAATGTATCTTTGCACTTTTGCTGCTTCCACTATAATTTATGTTTTAAGACTTCACTTTCAACTGCAAACAACAAAATAAATTGAATTACGCAATCATATTTCAATAACATATAACTTTTATATATCAATAATACCAAGTACATTCTTACCCTGAAACAAGTTAGCATGAAAAGAGTGGCTTACGTGAAGTGGAGGAACTGATGGCTTTGTTTCTCCATTCATATCAATAAATGTCCAAAAGTCACTAATTTTTTTGGTAGCTGGTTTCAAATAATTATTGCTTGAAATATTTGCTTCAGAAATCGAAACAGACTGCCTATTATTCGCTCCTATACTTGGTTGAACTTTTTTTTCGGTGACTAAAGGCTGTAACAAGATGCGAAAAACTATATTGTATGAAACAAGAGAATTTAAATTATAGATGAAACTTACAGAGATATTGTCTGTTCCTTAAAAACCTTCTATGCAGTATGGATGAAATCACGCATTTAAAAACTTCAAGATACTGACCTTGTTTGAAAATTAGAGGAAATGAAAATAAATTAAAAACAGGAACTTTAACTTATGAAAAAATTTTAGATTGATACTTGAAAAAAAATTCTACATTCACAACAAATTTTGCTTATAAAGAAAACTAACTAGGTTATTATTTCTTTTGAAATTCCTTTCGTGTTCTAAAAGAGGAGAAATAGATGTTGACTTAAGAGAACTTTCAGAAGTAGGTGGACAATTTTGATATTTCTGGATATTTTTCATAACTAATAAAGCAATTTCATTTTCATAAGATGAATCACTGGATTTAGGCCTTGTAATATGTCCTACCATATCCTGAAAAATGTGGACATCAGAAAATAAAATTGCAGTGAAAGTAGTGCAATGTCTGACTGCAGTTAAAGATCACAATCGATGCATATTTTATGACAATAATTTCATCTATGAATTTTGAAAACTTTAACCTTATATCTTCGATCTCTTTTACAAGAATCATGTTTGAAATCTGAATACCTGAAATGCTTAGAAGCAATACACATAAAAGGAATATTAACGGGGCAATACAAACAAATTTGAGTTACGAAATTATTAGTCTTTTAAAGAGTAAATTAAAAAGTTGGAAGTATTAACATAAAAATATCAATTTTCATTAAGTGATCACATACGAATTTCGTTCCCTCATTTCGATAACTTTTTTGCTCAGTAAAGCTGCAAGTCGAGCTTCAGCTTCGATTCGACGTTTCCTTTCCATTGATACTTTCTCTTGCTCAGTCAAAACCAACTTTCGAAGTTCAAGATTTTCGGACAATAATTGCGTGATCAAATCAGTATTATTAGTAGTCATTGAGGCCCTAAAAACAAGAATAAATTCATATACATACCACAAAAAAATACTTATTGTGCTCTCAGTAAATGAAGAAATTAATAATGTTTTTACTACCTCAATAAAAGCATGAATTTTTAAAAGAAATGGAAGATAAATGCAAAACTAAAACGATGAAACATATGCAGATTTTCCTGCAGAATTTAGTTTTTACCAGTAAATTTGTAAGACTTTCACTTCCAGATTCTTATAAACATCAGAATCCACCAGAGAAAGTTCATTCTTAGTGTGTTGAAGGCAGGAAGATTTCCCAGGTGAGTAACAAAAGTATGAATGAAACTCAGCAACGTGATATGAACAATTTAAGCAAAGTTTGGGAGACTTTTTGAAATTATTTGCACATTCAATATAGCACATAACGAAAACCACTTACAAAAATCAGTGGTTGGGTCAAATTTTTTGTTTTAATATCTATTTTGATCAGTACTAATCTCACTTAGTAGCCTATCGAACTACATTATTTTGATTTCTGTTTCCGACGACTATGTAACTGATTTCTTTTACTCCTAAATTATAATGCTTGACCTTTTATAGTTTGGAAGATTAGACTGTCCATTCATCCCAGCAAACTTAGTATATATATCCAATTAACAAAAAATTGCTTTTGCGCGAGCGTGGGTTGGAGTTCGATTAGCGAGAAACAGAAGAGTTAAGATTGAACTTGTGAGGTGTAAATCTGACATTTATTTGAAGTCACATGAATTAAATTACGTCTTTCGTCTCCTCAACTTATGCATTAGCTTAACATCTAGTGATCTTAATCATTGAATTGCAGAATCGTTTTATCATCAGAGTTTTAAATGTCAATCTTGAAACTCTACTGATCATAGGAACCTAGATTTAACTATTCGGTTTAAATCAGATTTACGCAGCATTTTATGACTTATGTCCTGATCACATTTGTTTATAATATTAGACAAGTATATGGACAAATGAACACATTGAACTTTGGAGTGAAATTGCTAGATCAGGAATAGTTTTAGGATACAAGATGGTTTGCATTATATTTTATATATACAAAAGATTCTAATGTAATCTATCTGTTTGCAGATTTTCAATAAGAATGACGGATGTTTCAAAGAATTATGAGCAAGAAGAAGAAGGTTTGCTCATTCATATTCTTATCAGTTTTTTATTTCCGCTTATTGTTAAGGAATATCGTTGTAAGCCTTATAAATAAATAAATAAATTATATATATAAGAATTTTGCATTATATTTCAAAAAATTTCATATATATGTAGTTCATATTTATTTACTGTCACACAAAATTATTCTCACTAGTTTTCCATTGTTTTTTTGGCGCGAAGTGGCTTCATATTTTGTTTTATTTTTTGCTACATATTTATTATTTTTTGGTATTTTGTCTATGAATTTGCGAAAAACAAACAATGAGTGTTTATTCATTTTCAATGAATTCCAAGGATTATGCGAATATGTGATGGAACAGAATGGAAGTTGATGAATTTATAGCAAAATATGACCACATAATATGATGTGTGTTACAGTTAAAAGTGATCCGGTCGCGGAAACCTTTGATGAAGATGAAACTAGAAGACAGAAAAATGCGTTGAAAAAAGCTCGACAGTTTGATTTTGAATCTTTGCTGAAATCAACGAGTAAAAGCGTTTTCATAGATCAAAATGAAACACTTGACGAAAAACAAAAAGGTGAAGATAAAGGTGGCGGAGTAGAAACAGCAGATACTAGCAGACAGTTCAGTTACATGCATATTGAGTCTCACGAGGTATATTTAATTTGATTTAACTGTTTTTTATTAACTTCCAGTTTTTTAATGAATAAGCATTTACTTCATATGTGATTAGTATTTAGCTTAACATCATGCGGATGCGTAACATTTATCAGTTTTAAGAGAACCTATTCATAGATTATTGTATTTGCATCACAAATTTTCAATATGCAGTTATCGAATAACGAGTTAATTTTATTAAGTTGATTTAACCTTTTTTCAGTAATGGAAGAGTTATTTTTCTTATATCTTTGCTTTTAATGTTTCAGATTTATTTATGAATAAATATTTCTGATTTATAATATGCATTGCACTCTTTTCATTTTTTCATACTATATATTTTAATTTATTCAAAAGCATTTCCTTCTTTGAGAAAATGATTTTCAGGATTGCGAAAGATCAGCTGGTTCTTTACAGTCAAGGAAATTAAACTCCACTTCATCTGAAGGTTTTTGTGTAAAATAATAAGATAGTCCTCGTGTAATAGGTATTTATTTTAATTAGCACTCGGACGTGTATTCATGAATTCGGAAGTATCATACTGCTAAGCTTTAGAATGTTAGTTCATGGGTTTTGTTGATTTTACTAAAATTAGTTATGGTGGTTTTACTTTTTAGTCACTTGGATCATCATATATATTAAAATTGTAGAGCACGGTGATGACTCAGATGAATTTGCAATCCCTTTACCTGAAGGATTCGTACCAGATGCACAAATGATTGACACACAAAAACATTTGGATTCTGATGATGAGTTCGACGACTTGGGTGAGGGAGTATGTTTCTAAATTTTAATGTAGCACTCAATTTGCGAGGACTTTCTAGTCCGATTCTTTTAGTATTTGAATTTTTAGTTTCTTATTTTTACATTATTTTTGATTTGCAGATCCCTATTGTCGACTTAATACCTGCAGCTTCTGAAGCTGTAATACGACACGGAAAAAAACCTGTTAGTGCACGTAAAATTTTTAATTCTCTAACTTCTTCAGCTTCAAAACAATTACTTTTTGAAAATTTCACTGTTATGTTCTTATGCAAATTTTCAGGTTTCAGCATTAGCATTTGATCAACAAGGTATGAAATTCGCAACTGGCGGGTATGATTATATGGTAAATTTGTTTGAGTTTCAAAGAATGGATTCAGGCTTAAAACCCTCGCGTGAATTGATGCCTTGTGAATGGTAAGTCTTTACTAATGATTATTTGAACCGCTGTTTAGAAGTTAAAAATAATGAAATTTTATTTTCACACCATTTTTGGTTTATTTAGTTCAGTATTCAACTTTAAAAGTTTTTTCCTATTTTATCTATAGCCATGTTATCAATGGCCTAGCGTTCAATTCAAATGGTGAAAGGCTTCTGATTGCAAGTGGTTATGCACAGATTCGGATTCTTGATAGGCAGGGTAAACAATGGGCAGAAACTATTCGAGGCAAGTTAAGAAATTCAAGTAGTCTTAAAATTATTATTTTTTTTGTGAATGAAAAATGTGCGATATTTTTAGGTGACCAGTATTTGGTGGACGCATCCAATTCTAAAGGCCATACTGGATCTGTCAATGCTTGCTGTTGGCATCCTGTTATAAAAACGGAGTTCTTGTCTTGTTCTGATGATGGGTAAGTATTTATGTGACAAACATGCATTTCACTCTGCGAAAGAAAATGTTAAAAACTCTGAAGAGATGTTTTTGATGTGTGCTAAAATTTTAGTAATATGTGTTTAATTTCATTTGAGTTTGATAATTAGTGTATCTTTGATCTCTAATTGTAAATCGCTAAGTTGTAAAGCTGAATAATTAGAGAAATTGATTGCAAACTTTTGATGCATTACACTTTCAACTTTTGTTTCTATTGGGGTGAATCATTTTAGATATTGCGTAGCATATTTTCTTTAAATTTGTAGCCGAGAACAAAATTTTCATTATTTGAAGTTGTATTTTCGTTTACATCAAGTCTAAGTTTTTTTATTGGATTTATAAACTCGAAGTTTTAGAACCCTCAGAATATGGTCTACGGATGATTATAAGGAAATTACTCATTGTATCAATAAGCAGCGAAAAGTGATTAAGACAAAGAATGTTGCTGGGAAAAGGGCTGTGCCAACAGCTTGCTGTTATTCTCCGGACGGAAAATATTTGGCAGCTGGATGCAATGATGGATCTATTCAAATTTGGAAACATGGAAGTCTATATGTGGGTGATCACTTGTAAATTTGATAACTTAATTTTAGACATTTATTTGAATGAAATAGTTGTTTCATGATTCGAAAAGCATTTCAGAACTTTATTCTTAGGTAAACACTGCATATTTGAATCGAACAGCTCATACTGCGCCCGTCACTTCATTACAGTTTTCGCCAAATAGCAAGCGGATCCTTTCAAGATCACGTAAGATTTATATACTTATTGAAGATTGGAAAAGTCAAATCTCCTTTCCACAGTACTTAGTATGAAGTAGTTTTTCAGTTGATGGTACTCTGAAATTGTGGGAACTTCAAGCATTCAAGACACCCTGTCATGTGATAGAAAATTTGAATACTGACTTCATCGGGTAATTATTGGAAGGATTTATCTTTTCTTGATGAAAACTTTAAATTTCGGAACCGTTAGGATATAGTTTTATAAAGAAGTGCATGATCTTTTAACTGTATATTGGAAATTTGTCAAATGTTACCCGAGTTTTTGTTTCTTTGTTGAATTTTATTTTTTTATGAACTGCATTAATAGCATTACGAAGTTCTTGAAGGCTTCAAATTTTTAGTACTGATTGTGGCTTTTCTCCTCATGGTGAAATAGTTTACACTGGTACATCTTTTGATACTGATAATCAATCTGATGGAATGCTTATTTTTTATGATTCGACATCTTTCGAGTTGGTATATCAGATCAGATATCCCAAATTAGTTAGTTAGCTATAAATACAAATTTTAATTTCAAATAAATTCATTTCATTGTAAACATTTTTAACTGGCTCTTCAAATCAGTACACACAAGGGCACTGATTTTCAGAGTTGTTTTCGAGTTTGTTGGCAACCCAAAATCAATCAAATTCTTGTTGGTTTGAGTGATGGTTCACTTCACCTGTATTATGATTCTGTTAACAGTTCAAAGGGAGCTCTATCATGTGTCTCCCGTCCTATAAGGCGTGCACGTATGCAGGAAGTGATTCGCGAAGAGTTGGTGTTGTCACGTAAGCTTACATGAAAAAATTCATGCAAATAAATTTTACTAATTTTCCATTAGCAAATTAGTCTTTCAGCGCTCACTTTGGAAATGTTTCAACCTAGAGGAGAAGAAGGAGAGGAGAAAGAAGTTACATCATGGAGGATAAAAAAGTATTTGCGTATGAAAGACAACAAGTTACGGCCCGATTTCCGAAAACCGGCTGATATGCCAATGAGTGGACCAAGTGAGTTAATTTTCTGATGAAAGTTGGTAAGGCTGTGTCATTATTTTATAGCTTATTTTACCTTATTTCAATATTTTTTTCTATAATTTCTTTCGTTTTCGACGATTTTAATGGGAAAAGTTTATTAAAGCTTTTTGTAATATTTATCATTTTAGGTTCTGGGGGTCGAGTTGCTGCTTCTGGTGGCACGCTTCATTCCTATATTGCCAAACAAGTTGGTACGAAAAGGAATCGTGATTTTCTTGCAGATACTGATGTGCGAGCATCCATTTTACGTCATGCCGAAGAGGTTTATCGTTTATTCGTTAAAAATTTTACATTCTTTACATACTCATTTTCTGAAATGAAAAAATTGATTTGATTTGTATGATTAATAAAATGGATATTCAACATATACTTCCCTAAAGTGACTTGTGATTTAGATCTGTTGAAAAGCAGAAATATTTGAGATATTTTTCTAGGCAGAAAAAAATCCTTATTATGTCACTAAGGCGTACCTCAAAAATCAGCCAGTTACGATTTTCCAAGAGAAAACCACAGCACCAGAGGAGGATGAAGGCGATGTAGAATTAGAACCACTGTATAAGATTTCAAAAAAGCAATAGAACTTTGTTTTATTTTTTGAAATTAGATTTATGTCGATTACTTTTTCCTCAGTCAGAAGGAAGCAAATTTTTATGCCTGCTGTTTCTGCTTTTATGATATCGTTCCTTCTGTTATTTTATCACGTTTTCTTATCATGAATGCTCTTTTATTTTGTATGATAATGTTTTGTTCACATTGCTATGTTATTTATGATAAAGTTTAACGTAAACTGCGATTTTCTGTGTCAACTTTAAAAATGTGTATTGTACATGATGTGCGCTATGTGTTTTATATATTCTTTTATCAATAAAGTCGGTAATAATTAGTATCAAGAGTACACTAGAAACAATATTATTGTAAGCATTTTATACCTATTCATGCTTTAAATTTGGTAGGAATTATTTTTCCCATGAACTTAATTTGAATGTGCAGTTGATTAAATTCAAATTCATGAGAAAAGGAATGTTCGTAAAAGTAGAAATGAATGGGGGCGTAATGAGGTGAGGTGTTTTTGCGGTCACGCTGAAATTATTGAGAAGTCTTGATCACCTCGTGAAAGATATGTATAGCTTCACATTTTATGAAATTCGCAGATTTTCATCTCCCTTGAAGCAAATTTGCATTCCAGAGAGGTAGTCTTAGTCAGTGATCGGAGAATTGTATACGATGTAAAGTATCTGAACTTGGAGATTGCTATGATCGACTATCAATTCAAGGAAGAGCTCATTAAAACACGTGAACGTGTCGAAGATCTTTACTCTTTCGAAGGTTTTAAGGTAGTTGGCATTTCAATAGCAGTTTTATAATCAGAGTGGAAAAGGCATGTACTATAAGCTCCTTGTAAATTAGTTTTTGTGCTCTAGATATGGTCTAATTAAGAATTTGGTGTGAAGTTTTAGAAACATTCTTTATTGTCTTCAGATTTCAAAAAAAAAAATTTTTGTGTCAAAGAATTGTCTTGATGCTTTAAGGTTGGACGCGGAACTTACGGGCATGTGTACAAAGCACAACCTCGACATCCAGAACAAATCCCAGAGAATGGAGCTAAAGAATTTGCATTAAAGTTAATCGAAGGCCAAGGTTTCTCGATGTCGGCTTGTCGAGAAATAGCACTGTTAAGGGAGCTGAAGTCCTTATTCAAATGTCATTTCGATATTTAATTTATTTTTTCTTTCATTAGTTACTGTTGTTTAGGCATCCAAATTTGATCAAATTGCAACGAGTATTTCTAACCACCGATCGAAAAGTATGGTTGTTATTCGATTATGCGGAACATGATTTATGGCATATCATCAAATTTCATCGAGCGGCAAAACAGAAAAAGCAACCCGTACTCGTTCCGAAAGTAATTTTACGCTAACATTCTTGAAGATAACTTCTGTACGAAATCAATTTTTCAATTTTTTTCTTCCATTTTTTGTCTTTCAGCTGTTAATTGAGCTATCTTTTTAATTGTTCTCATGCTTAATTCAGTATTTTTTCTGAAATCCTACTTTTGAGTTTGTATGATTATATATTTCGAGCTTTTTAGGGCATGGTAAAAAGTCTATTGTATCAAATATTAGACGGAATACATTACTTGCATTCAAATTGGATTCTTCATAGAGATTTGAAACCTGCAAATATTCTCGTCATGGGTGAAGGACCTGGAGTTGAACGTGGAAGGTCAGTTTTTGGTTAATTTGAAGCTGCTTACTTTTTGATTTTGTTGTTACATATATAAATGATATCAGGTGATAACAATTTTATTAATATTTAGAGTGAAAATTGGCGATATGGGTTTTGCTAGAATATTTCACAACCCACTGAAGCCATTAGCAGAACTTGATCCGGTTGTGGTAACGTTTTGGTATCGAGCACCAGAGCTTCTGCTCGGTGCAAAGCATTATACAAAAGTATATCATATAGTCTTGTTGCTTGATATCTTATGTTTTATTATATTTTTTTAAATGCATACTTTTTTGTTTGGCTTTTATCCTATATGAGAAATTTAATTTTGTTACTTTTTATTTCAGTTGTCCGTAAATAATTTCCTACTTTAAGAAATATTTTCAGTCTTTGAAAGTAGCATTTGTTCACGCAAATGATAGTTTAGGCTATTGATATTTGGGCTATTGGTTGCATATTCGCGGAGCTCCTTACTTCAGAGCCTGTTTTTTTTTGTCGAGAAGAAGATATCAAAGCTTCAAGTCCCTATCATCAGGATCAGCTTAATCGAATATTCACTGTTATGGGATATCCATCTGAATCCGATTGGCAAGATCTCAAAAAGATGCCAGAATATCAGAAATTGACTCAAGATTTCAAAAGAGCAAAGTGATGAATGCATGTTTGGATTTTTTGAGGAATATTGTTATTAATATATTTTTAACAATTTATTTCAATTGATTTCAGATTTAATTTTAAAATTTCGTTTTCCAGCTATGCTAATTGTACTTTGCAAAGATATATGGACAAACACAAAATTAAGGCAGATACTCGATCATTTTCTTTGCTTCAGCGGCTTCTCACGATGGATCCAATTAAAAGAGTCACTGCTCAAGATGCTATGGATGATCCTTACTTTAAGGTTTTTGTTGCATTCGCTGTTTGTATTAAGATTTTTAATGATAATCATGTGGTAGAAATGCTACTGAGTAAATATTTAGGAAGATCCGCGGCCAACAGCGGATGTATTTAGCGGTTGTGATATCCCCTATCCAAAGCGTGAATTCCTTTCGGATGAAAATGATGATAAAAGTGCATCTGCATCAAAACCACAGCAAGTGCAACCTCCACAACAAAGTCAACAGGCAAATCACCAGTCATTTTATTTTTATAAAAATTTTATCGAAGCCATTTAAAATCCGGTATATGTGATCTGTCTTGACGATGATATTATATATTTTGACAGGAACATCTGTTTAAAACTCAGTTTTATCCTCTCAGTTGAATGTCATAGATTTTTTTAAACAAGAATTTGCTGAAATTTCACTCATTTAAGTATTTTTAAGAAGATATTTTATTGTTTAAAAACTCATTATGAACTAAATTCAAAAACATTTAGATATTTCATGTGAAATTGCAGCCTATTGGCCTGCATCCTCAACAGTCGGTTATGGAGCCAGCTGTAAAGAAGATGCGTATGCAGCAAGGACCTCAAATGTCAACCACACAGCAGGTCTTGTTTTTCTTTTATTTGATGATTAATCGCTTGTCTGTGATTGTTTGCAATTTATCGGTGGTTAATTTTGGATTTTAGATTTTTTTGACTAAGAAATTCTTTATTGGGCAACATTTTCAGATTGAATCAATGATGAATGCACCAACGACGGGAATTTTTGTTTCTAGTGGTGCTCAAGATTATCCACCTGTAGGTTCAGGTTCAACAATCAGCAACAAGGGAGGATTAGCATTTGAACAACATGCTCAACAGCAAATGATGCAGTCACAACATTTGACTGCTGGAATGCAGCAAATACCGTATGGTCATCAGCAACAGCATCAAGTGATGAATCAGGGACCAAATTTGTACCAAGTAATTTGTCATTTTAGTTTATCAAGTAAATCAGTGTAAGAATTGAGCTTTAGTCAAAATCATTCTATATAGCCTTATCAAATTCAAGCTCTGAATTCAATTAAAGATATGAAATTGCTCATTTCTACTTAAACGAAAAATCTTTATTTCTCGCTGAGTAAAATTTTATACTTCGGCCTAAATGTGTGAACTTAATTGCTTTCAAAGCATATGTTCACTTTTCATTGTTTTAAAAGAATTTTAATTGCAAGCAAAAATCTATTTTTAGTTCTTTGCATTATCTTTTCGTATTTTGCTATAAGTCACAGGTACTCATTTCAAAAATACAGTTGCAGCAACAGCAAATGGGTATGAACCAACAGATGGGTGGACCTTCTCAAAATCAAATGTCGCAGCGGTCAATGCAAATGTCTGCTCAGTCATCTGTTATGCAATCTTCCTATCAGCAGCAAATGATGCAGCCTGGTAATTTTTACCTTGTTTTGGAAAAAATACTTTTATTGTTGAATTATCGGCGGTCCAATTAACGATGAAATATAACAATAAAACTATGAGGTTTTTTTGTTCAAGTTTGGCTAGTCAGCGATGCTATTTCACGTTACTGTGATCGTTTAAATCTCTATACTCTCTCCATCTTACTGCTCATATTCTGATACTCTCTTAACTCAAATACTTGTTTTAAAAGTAAATTTTTGAAGGCAAGGTTATTTCATCGATGTTACACATGTATGAAACATACTGTACTGAACCCTTAAAGGTATGATAAGCACTCAACAAATGATGGGTACTGGAACTGGTATGATACCACAACAAGGTGGTATGGGTGGTTCAGGACCTATGGGAGGCCCACAAAATCAGATGGGCCCATCTCAAGCCCAGTTAGGTCATCAAGGACCTGCAATGATGCAACAAATGCGTCCACCAATGTCTTATGTGGATGCAAACGGACGTATGATCCAAAGCGGTCAGTGGCAAAGTAATCTCCATAAATTGTATCTTTATTCATGGCGTCTGTTATATTAAGACACTGTCTGTTTCCAGATTTTCTTGCAAATTTTTGTGAGCATTCTAGACTCAATCTTATTTTAACTTACCTATGAAATTTATTTTATTTCTTTTTCTTAAATAGTTTACTCTAGGTGGAATGATGATGCAACCTGGCCAGGAAATGATGCCTCAGCAAGGTTCATATATGATGCAACAACAATGGTCTCAAATGCAACCGCGTTATTAGGTTTTATGATGCACTACTCATTCTTTTTTCTGCAAAAATCTGTCTTCCATTATATTTTATTGTTAAATTGCATTGTTACATTTATACGAGTTCAAGAATTTTCAGAATTAAATTTCTGAAGTTGTCATGTCATATCTTATGTCTTTTTACTTTCGTTTTGTGCATTCTTTTTTTATTATTCTCTTACTTCCAAATTATCGTTCATATAATTTTCATAGTTGTGATATATGATGACACTCATGCAGAAAACTAATTTTGCATATCATAATAAAACACAGTCATTTCCACATATTAATTCTTAGCATGCTATCTACAATTGCCATATAGTTGTTGCTGCATTACAGAAAATTATCAAGCAGCCAACAAATTTATTGTAAGCAAATATATTTACAACTTGTAAAACTTATTCGATGAAAGATGAAGAAATGTGGCCGGGATCCTCAAAAACCGGGGCACAAGTTTTGCAGCAGTTCTAAATCCAAAAAAGTCTAACGCAGAACTTACGCTTCTCATATGTGAAGGAATTCTTCCTAAAAATAAGAATTGCAAAGTAAAAGTGCGGAAATAACCACTTTAATCTTCTCAATACTTTGAATATGTTACGAAGTGAACTCTTAACTCATAAATGTAAGAAAGCTAACCGTCATTGTCAATAAACAAATACTCGTTGCATAGATCAGCAGTCAAAAGTATACACCCTGTTTTCCGTATTACTCTATCGTCACAAGTCAAACACAGCACCGCTCGTCCCACAAATTCAGGAGTTTCCCCATCCTTTATCATACGCGCTATTTGAGCCTACCATCATTCGTTAAAGCAAATTTGATAAAAATTTGAAGTAATAAATGTAAACTTTACTTGCTTACTGGCAAAATAATTATTGACTGACCTATACCTGAATAATGGCAGATGCTTTACTCAGGACATAAAAAAACACGAACTGACTATTTAATCTCAGAATAATGTCAAGGGAAGACCATCCTAAGAAACTTCTCTTCCAACTATTGCTGAAAAATGACACCTGAGGCAATTGTGTGAGTTGGCTTAGTTTCCCAGATTGTAACCAGTCATACGACTGTTCAGTTTTTACAGTTCCTGGCCACAGAGACACCACCGCAACGTTACTATCTTTCAGTTCATGAGCCATGTCCGCTGACATCCTATCAATCTACGATTAAGAAAAATACTTCACATCTCAATGAAATGAGTAATAAGTGAATCTCATAAACAGAATTTAGTAATTTTTCGAGTGTTTACTTGAAATTTAAGAAGAGAATCACAATATTTGGCGAATAAGATATTTATAAAACATGTGAAAATTTCGACAAATATGAAAATTCTCTAGAGTGAGGTATCTTGAAGCAAACCTACAATATGATGCGAAATGGAAAATATAAAAATGAGAATACAATTATGGATTTCACTAAATTTTATGAGAAAAAACGCTATTAAATGAAACTTACAGCAGCTTTTCCAACTCCGTAAGGAACATTGAAAAAGTAACGAATACCAGCAGCGGAGCTGATATTTATTATCAATCCTTTTCGACGTGGAACCATCATCCTTGAAGCCAATACTGAACAAATATAAGCATTTCTTAAGCCAACATTATTGATTTCATCCCAAAATGAAGGATCACACTCATAAAATTTTTTACCAGCATTTTCGCCGACCGCCTGTAAAGAGATGAATTACAGATTACCAAAAATAACTGTGCTCCAAATAATGTGTAACAACTGTAAATATATATTCTATTTCAAAGACATTTAAATCATTAAAACTGAAACATATTACTTTATCTTAGCCTTTCTACTTAAAGTTCATTTACTTCAGCTAATATAACTGAGCTAATGATAAAATAAGGAAGTCCCAGAGAAAAAATTAGTGCTTAAAAAATGTAACTTCTGAGAAGAAAATAAATGCAGCACGAAAATTACAAAATATTTGTTTTATTGTACAGACATGATGCTTACATTATCTGATAAACATTAGGATTTTTTAATATTCATATTACTTTAGAAAAAAGGAAATCACTCCAAAACTTTACTGAAAGAAACCCACTTGTGCTCCCGAAAAAGCATTGTTTACAAGTACATCCAACCGATTATTTTCATCTTTAGCAATTTTTTTGAAGAGTTCTTTTACTTCTTCATCTTTAGAGTGATCACAGAAAACCGCAATTGCTTTACCACCTTTGCTCGTAATTTCTTAAATTAAAGAATTTTTTTATTTGTGATTTTTATTGGGATACAGCTATTTACTACGACAAAAATATTTTTTTAGAAAAAGTATTGAATTTGAACATATGGAATCGCATCTTACCTCACAGTTTCATAACGGAAAACAACACTGAATTCGTTAGCACACTATAACTATATGCTTATTATTTTTTTACGACCTGTATATATTTTATAATATTGAAATCATTTATTATTTTGCTGAGCATATTTTTATTCTTGATAACAAAATAAACAAGTAAGAAAATTGGCAATCGAACCATTGACTGTATCATCTAAAGTTGGTTTTTTTGATGACAAATTTTTTGGCCGTCCTGTGACATAAACTGTAGCACCAGCTTCACCAAGTATCATAGAAATACCACGACCAACACCTCGTGCACCACCTGTTACCAAAACTACATGATTCTTAAGCGGCTTTATTGCCGGCCGTGCATTGTTAGAAGCCTGCAAGAGCAATATGCAATTATTATTCGGTCTAAATTCTTCTTCAACAACTTTCAACTTTATAACTGATAGCTTGTACAACTAGAATACTAGTTTTCAACTATACTCTCATATGATAATGCAGAAAATCTATCAACATATTAGCAAGTGATTAAATCCTCAAAATTATGGGAAATTTTGTATAGACATACTCCTGATTCAACTCACAACTCACGTAAATAAAGTATTACATTGTCTGCTACTAAATTGAAATCCACTGCGTAACTTAAAACATATAACTTCAGTTTTCGAAAATAATGATTATATTTTAACACTGTTAACGAAAGACAAAATAAATCAATGATTTTTGCAAAGTTTCTGTAAAATCACAATACAACTCTAACTGATACCAACCTATCATTAAATTTAAGCAGTAATTTATTCTTCGGACTATCCTCAATTTAAAATTTCAGTTCAAGTAAAAAATACTTAATGCTATGAAAATCGAAACACAATATGCACTAAAACTACTAAATTAGCCCTGAACTGCAAAATTCAAAGATTTCTAGCACTGCTACAAAAATTAACTTACTGCAGCTACAGATTGTTGATTACAACCATAATATAAAGAAGAGCGCTTGCCAAACAAAAAACATCGAGACAATAACATTGTTAGATTTATGAAAAATCTGAAATGTGATATTCATATACGGCTTCATACGGTTTCATAGTGTGAAGAAGAAAACACACAAGGAATACCACTTGCAAAATGACTTCACTCAACTTCTAGGATGTCCACGTACTCTTAAACGTGAGCCTTAATGAGTTCATAGCGTTCCAATTATAAGATTTATGAAAACTACATTGTAAGACATTGTTTTGTGAATAATATTTATGCAACTTTGAGATATATCGGAGTATTTTCCAGCAGCGAAATACATATGCACTCCATGAATCACTAACATTCAATATGAAAATATAAATCTTAATATCAAATCCATTCTGGTTAGGCTTGTAGTGGATTTGCGACAAAAACTTCGTAGTGTGAAAGTAATGATCATGCACATTAAGTGAATGAAGTATTTTTAAGTGAGTAGCTAAAATTGAATTAATAATAAATGACATCATTTATGTTTATATTAATATTCATCATAAATTATGACATGCAAGCTAATACTGAAACACAACAAGATAACATAAATTTGAATAATTTGCGCAAAATAGCATATTCTGAGAAGGAAGTGGAACAGTCGTACAATCTGAAGTAGAAATCAGCTCTTTTTTTAAATAAAAAATTGAAATGGTTGAATCTTTCGTTTTCATCTGTCTCTTCAATATATTATACCCAAGAATAAAACATTATATGCACTGTTTCGCTAAAAGCATACTGTGAATATGAAGCACTTCTAAAAGTTATTCTATTCCAAAACTATTCCATATTTACTGTAATTTTTTTGACTTAAAATAGTTATATTTTTGTATATCATTTTGCAAATTCATAAACTAATAAATAAACAAGAAATCAGACATATATACTCAATTAAAATAGTTTTTGCATTAATATGAAAATTAAAATATGCTTGAAAATTGAATATACAATTATTTTAGAGAGCAAAAACATGGAAATGAATAATTTTTAGCAAAATTTTTAATACGAAAATAATTCTTTTTAATTTCTGATTAAAAGTATTTCTAATTATGTCTATTCTCGACTTTTTCGTATGAATTTAGAGCTGCCATTTGTAGAGTAGCACATGCCTTTGCAAATGATAACAAATCCGCTTTACCGAGTCTTACATTTCCAAAATTACCTAAACTCAAAACATATAAAAATTTTAAATGAAAACTCAAAAATAACTTATGCGGAACTTTCATGAAAAAACAATATTAATTAATCTTTTTTATCAGTCAGAAGTTTAGACGTATTTAATTAAAGATCAGTGAATTGAATAAGTTTTATATCACGTTTTTAATAGTAATTATAAACTTTCTTCTCTCTAAAATCATTATTATCAATCTTTTTAAAAGTAAAAATATTTTTTTGAGTAAATTGCTAAATTTTATGCTTTAACCAATTTATGTAATTAAAAATTTTTTCAAATTAAACTGAAATTTTTTCAATTTTTTCTAGTTGCTATTTTTTCTTCAAATTTTTTTATTACGCGAAATTAGACATTTTTCAAATTACTTCTGGTTAAACTGAAATTTTTAGCAAAAATATATTAGATAAATTTGAATATTCAAAAGCAAAAATTATTGGGTATTAAAAAATTTGTTATAGTAACTGAGATTCCTTTACATTGAACCCTTCAGATTGAATTTTCGTTGCAAACATCGAAATAATTAAACTATGCAAAATCAAACATTGACAAATTTTGCAAATGAATTCATTTTTAGTTGATTATTATTAATATTACTTATATTAGTATTTTTTTACAATATTAATATTACCAACTTTATTTCTTTACAAGAAATTAAGTAATATTAATAAGAAATTGAATAAATACAATATTTTATTTAAAATGAAATTATGGAAGAAAAAAAAAAAGGAAAATCACTAACCGGATATAGCTTCAACAGTAGAATTTCTGAGAAAATAACGATAAGCATCTCTGAGTGAAGCGAAGTTAACGCTTCCACCACCTCTTTCATTTCCAGAATCTCTATTGCAAATTCTTAGTGGTTTCACTCTTTTTTGTTTTTTACCTTTGCGTTTCAAAAATCTTTCAGAACTACACTGACCTCTTTCTGAATTATGACTAAATGGCATTTCAGTGCTTAATTCTTGAGGTCTATCTTCAATTTCTATCTTCACAGCTAAATAATCTTTATCAGAATCTGCGAATGATTTACTACTTATAACTGGATCATCAGATGGATTTTGAAATGTTTGATTCTTGTTATCATGTTGTTCTGAATGATCTTTTGTTGACGAGATTAAATGTTCCATGACTTCTTCTGCTTCAACAACTAGCTTCTTCCAAACACACTCTATACTTTTAAAAATGTATTAATTTTTTAGGACTTAAAATGTAGTACATATTTTAAATCAAAATATAATACACATTTACAAGTATTAAATTTATATCCGCAAAATACGCAGCCATTAAATCGCACGCATCTTCTAAATATAACTGTCATAATTCAGTAATTATTATAGACTAAACTGATAATTTAAGATCAAATTATGATAGCTCTTTGCTTTGATCTGTTCATAGTTTGATCTTAGAATAGTATTTGTCGTCTTTTCTCATATTTCTGATTCATTTTGCATACTTCTGTAAATCACAAAAGACGAATATTGTTTAATTCATGTTGGCTGGCGTTCTGATATGTTTCTGAAATGTTCTAGCATAACAATTTGACCTTAGGGTCAATAAATAAAAATGCTTGAATATTCTCTAATACATAAGCTATAAGAGTACTTTTGATATTTGGAAAGGACTGTGGTATTCATGTTATAGCTCGTTTTTACTGAGTAATTTCTTGATCTTGTGGTAATTTCTTGGTTTTCTGTAATATTTAATAATATTTAATACTTTTTATGAAAATTGGTAGCATCTCATAATTGATAAGGTTCTCCTATTTAGATGAGATATTTCCCTCCAAAACAGTTATAACATTATGTATTCGAAAAAATAAACAATTTTGGAAAAAGTATTTTCAATAATAAAAAAATTAGCAAGGTTTGCTTTAAAAATACTTCTAATAAACTTAATTGACTGCTTTTGGCTTAGGTTTCTTTATTTCCCATTTCGCTCGACTGCATGAATATTAGAAAATAATTGTAAATTATTCAGTTCATGTCAGATAAACTAATTATCATAGTTGAAATGCATTTAAAATACAATTTTTACAACAAAAAGTATCTGCTTTCATTGCATTGTTTATATTCAGAAATGCTTCAGATTCCCAAATTTACGTCAAACAGTTCACAACTGTGAATGACAGCTTTGCTAGTATTTTCATTTGATATTAGCTTGGCTAGTTAACAATCATAAATATGATACAGTTACTATTTGAAAAAAAAACTTTTGAGAGGCAATAAGTAGATCAGTGGAATTGATTCGTTACCGTAGGATAATTAGCATAGAATCCGCACCACCTGATACTGCAGTAATTCATCTTTGCCAACATTTTGAGACCGTTACATGAGAAAAATCAATAGTTGCTAGAGTTGATAATTGCTGATAATTTCAGCTAGTAACAGTAATACTATAGAGATGACGAATTTTGTGCAGAAAATTTGTATTATGTTCTTGAATTGGAACAAATTACAAAATTATGTGCTGATGTAACTGTTCATAAACAACGATTTCTTGAATTATCTTTATTTCGATTATTTACATTTTACACAATCTAACGAAGTGAAAACGAAAATCATTACAGCAAACTCAAAGTAACATTGCAGTAAATGAAAGAAATTATGCAAAAAATTCTTAAAATCTATATACAGTCAAAAAAAACCAATACCATAAATTCATGTGAACAAAAATTAAACAAATTCTCAAAAATTGTTTAATCAAAAAGCAATACAAAGACTTGCGAGAACAAAAATTGAATAGATTCTTGAAATTTATATAATCAAAAAGCAATACAATAATTTGAGAAAATTAAGAGGAACAGTAAATCTTAATTAACACAAATAATGACATGTTCAATATAAAAGAGCAAAAGTACAAACCACCTGTTAAATCAATAATCTTACAAAATTGTAATAAGGCGTAAATAGACATTAAATTTAAAAAATGGTAATTAAAACACATTCAACTAGCTTTCACTGCTAGTTGACGCAAATGTTGGCGATTTATTCCCACTGCTTTTGATCGCGAGTTGACGCACAAGGTGATTCACTAGTGCCTTAAAAAGTGTGATCGAAATTAACAAGCCGAAAAACCAATAAACTACCATATGTAATCGAAAAATTGTAAGATTGGAAAGTAACAGTATTCAGCAACAAATTAGCAACCGGACCAGTTTTATTACTGCAATTTATTATTCACTACTTCAATCTTTTCATGCTAATAACGCGATCAAACATGCAAAAATTCAGAAAATATTATACCTTCTATAACATTTTTATCAGCGATGGAAAGCACTTCAACAAATTCACTTCTTAAAAGCGACAAAACTATTGGCACATAAATTTAATCTGAAATGCAAAAAAGATATAAAAAAAGAATTGGTAATCTTTCAATATGTTTCTCATTAAAGATTAATGAACAATTGAAACTAACTTATATTCGCTGAATATCACCGCACTAGCACATTGCCAAGCGATGTCCACTTTCAGCGAAAGTTCAATAATTAAGCCAAATGAGGTCCTCAACTTCCACTCTTGTTCAGTGGAAGTGCTACTTTATAGTACCTAAAATGGAACTAAATCAAAATAAAGAGGAAAGTTTACACATTTCTATCCTTGCTACTCAAATACATTCGCAAAGACCTTCAAAAGAAATCAGTACATCCTTTTAGAAAAAATTTGTACATCTTATGCATCTAATTTTAATTAAATGCAGATAACCTTCAACAAGCATCGAAATTAAATCACTTACATTTGATGTTTAGAGCCCACTAGCATTCGAATACAGAATCCTGTGCGTGGGCCGTATCAAGAGAAAATCGCAACCACATAACTTTACGTTGCGACCCCTCTTGATCTTTTGCTTACTGCAGACTGCCCACACGGCCTGCCTCTTCATGTAGTAACGCAGGCCTTACTTTTTGCTTTTTCTTGTTTAATCATGCCTAAAAAGAGAATTTTTTTGAAATGAAAGCTTAAAGAATTTCCTGTTATTTATTGAAAAAATTGCTGTAAACCAAATATAGCCTTTATAATAAACTTAAAATACTAACTAAATATAAAAATGGCTTTATCCATCATAAAGCTTTCATTTCATGTGCAATTGCATCCAGCCATTAATTGCAGTTCTATGATTTCAGAGTCTGCAAGTAAGAAACAATCTTCTCATGAAAATATTGCAAATATGGTTAATATTTCAGATAACGCGTAGTAATCACACGCGGTAACTAAGTGAAGCGAGTGTTAATGAAGGAAAATATTGTACAAAACTGTAGAGATATAAGCATTACATAAAATACGCACAACCTAACCTATCTCTCACTTCATAGCAAAGTTGCTAGAAACCGTCCAACCGAGAAAGAAAACGACCGACTAACTGACTGAGTGCGAGCGTACGGCTATTTCAGTGACTCAAAGTACCTCCTCCAATTGATATGACACGTCATGTGCAAATTCGGTCGATAAGCCGATATAGCACGTCTAAGTTAGAGGATGTGAGAGTGAGGTAGACAACACCCCTTAGTCTGTTTAGAATGATGTCAGTTATGCAAAATAAAATGATTTTCACGTTTATTGTGATCATTATTGACAGGAAATAAGTGATACCTTACTTAAAATTAATACGAATTTGTCATTTAAGTAATCACTTAGATCAAGTAATCAGGTAGCCCTCAAGAAATAAACAAAGTTGCAAGTGAAGAAATTTTTCTGTTCACGTATGCTACATATCTATAATCCTACATCTGCAAGTATTTTCTTGAAAGTAAAGAACTTACCTTCTGAACTAGCGATTACGCAAATGTTTTCTGTACACATATGGATATATTTTTTTGCTTCCGAGCACGCTTGTATTAACGTGTATAATATTCCGCGCATGCGTTTGTATGTAAGATTCATATCGATCTGCATATCCATAACTACTAGTACAAGCATAATGACTAGTAATCAATTAACATGTGAAAACTAAAAATACTATAACAAAGTCAAACTTCAATTTTGATGAAAATTTGCATAAAATCACAGCTAGCTGAGAAATGCA